CTGCTTTTTCGAAAAAAAATGAGACCTACTCACTAGAACGCGTTTAGATATTACAAAAACCTGAGTACACTCTTTCTTCTGACACATCGATCGTTTTTTAGAGTTTTTTTCTATACTCTTCGTAGGAAATTAGAAATTTGTCGATCGGTCAAGGATGATGCGTTTGTCTTATATCTGATAAATATTTTGTCGAAATCTTCTCAAGTTTTCGTTATGAATTCTCAAGTCTAGTTTATTCTAATATCTATGGAGAAATATATAATTAGTTACAAAGTTGTGATTTATGATAATCTCGAAGAATAATGAAAGAAGAATCTAATTTAGTTTATTAGTATCAGATATGTATGTGATAATGAAACTTAGATTTTTAAGAAGAATTAATGAATCGATACGACAAACGAAAAATTCTAGGGAAAAACTACCATAGATAAAACGATGTTAATTTTTTGGTATATTTTATCAAAAGAAAATATTGAACAGCAACACTATTGACGTACTTCTAAAATTTATTCATTGTTGAGACTATTTTTTTTTCTCATTCTTTAACAGTCATCTGTCATAGATAAAAAATAATTTATTGCTACAAAAGTTAATAGAGCAGCTAAGTTTTTTATTTGATTACTGTAATCTTTATGACTTACGGATATTTATCATCTAGTTGTTCTTTTAAGATTTATACTGAAAACGGAATATATACTCAGCATTATATTCTTTTTATGGTATAAGAGTTAAAAAATTAAAGTTTCTTCGCGTAAGAGTTTCAATCGACGACGAACTCAGTAAAATAACAAGCTCTAAAGTGAAATCATTAATGAAACTAAGCTATTTAGCATTTTTTTCAAATGATTTATTAAGATCAATCAGTGTGACGTTTCGTCCTAACTAAGAACATTATCAAACACAAATAAATAGACAGAAGAAGAATATATATAAGAGTAAAATAATGTCTTCGTTTTTCGATTCTATTGTTTTAAACATTCTAATGCAGACGGATCAATTTTACTCCTCCCGTGCATTGAAATGCTTAAAATAATAGAATAAAAACGATGACATTATTTTACTCTTATATATTTTCTTCTTCTGTCTATTTATTTGTGTTTGATAATGTTCTTAGTTAGAACAAAACGTCACCCTGATTGATCTTAATAAATCAGTTTAAGAAATGTTAAATAGCTTAGTTTCACTAATGATTTTATTATGGAATGTGGTGCTACCAAATGACAAATAAGCTCTATATTATATATTTTTTCTACGAATATCGTATTTTGTCAACTATTTCGATGGAATGTACAGACATTTTTCACAAATACTATCCTAAGAAAAAGCAAAAATAAACGCAGGACGTAAGGTGAAACTAAATCCTCTACATCGTTTAATTCTGAAGACTTCTTCTATTAGAGTTGTCTGAATCTTTTTGCTCATGTTTTCTAAGCTCGACCAACGGTCAATGTGAATCCTTATTCACGATTCGTATACAGTAAATATGTGAATTTTTTCGTAATCTGAATAGTATTTTAGATTAAATTCAGATATCATTCATGTATCTTATCTTTGTGTGCATTCACATCGCTTGCAGAAGTGATGTTTACTTATTGAGCAATCTTCATAGAATCAATGAATAAATGTGCTGGACGAATTTATTTTCTCTTTTGTCCTTCTCTAACTTTATTCTTTTTTCCTTCCTCTTCTCTGAATTTTTTCTTTTCTTCCCTTTGCTTTCCTATCTCTCCAATTTGATTAAGACTAACAATCAATTACTAAGCATATGAGATCCGTTCTGTTTATGCCACATGCATTTGTCGAATATATATTAACTGAAAAATATTACTCTCTTTTGACTTGACTAGAATTTCTAATTGGATTATGTAGCTCATAATTAATAATGTTGTATTGCTTGTCATAATACGAGTTTCAATTAGCTCATATACTGATGAGTTGATAATTTATGATGAAAATTCTAATGCAGCAATTTTATGCTTGAGAATATTAGGAACTTATAATTTATCGTACGTTTCGAGCTTTGAACATAATCAAAAACTTAGGATTTCAATGTGAAAATTGAGACTTTAAATCAATAAAATCAACCTGTATTTTCTCGATATTCTAATGTTCGCACCAACACATGATTTTGATTCATATGATGTCAATGTTATGCGGATTCTTACTTTAATCAAGCGAACTCTTTTTCACATAATTAAATCTATAGCGAATACTTTTTTGAAGTAATTTAGCAGATCAAAAGATAAATGGAAGCTCCAAACGGGCTAAATGTCTTTCACGCGTACTGTGAAACAATAAAAAATACAAATTCACGAGAATATAAATAATTATGGGAACCAGTCCCAAGAAAAAAGATTAAACTACTTTGAGCATTTACAGCTGTTTTCGTTGGAAAAGATGATCATAAACATTTCTCACTATCTTTTACGAAGAAGAAAATGATTTATCTAACCGTTTCAGAGACTATTTAATGTGAATAACGCTTGGAAACGCTGACTAGACGTAAAAACGGCAAGAAAAGTGATGCTCACGTTTTTTCTTGCCGTTTATCACCGTTTCCTAACAGAACGGGTGATTATGACAGTTTAAACGGCATTTTTAGCGTTTCACTTCTTCCTGGGATAGCCATACCCTCTAATCTGTCTTGGCTGCAATCGAGACAAGACACAGAATTTTTCTCGTCTGATAAGTGTGAATGTGCGTGAGTTGTTCTTCTCTTCAGCAACACTTTTTTTGATTGTTTTCTTCCAATAAAGCATATGGAAAGCTTCTTTTCTTTTCTTGTTTTTCCGCACTTGAATTTTGGTCGATCTCTGCTTCTTTCTCTTGCTTAATTGCACCATCACATGACAGACAACATAAGGGAAGATTGTTGATAAATTTTTGCTTACATAAGCATTCTGAATTTTTTCCAACTGATTATTTCGTTATAACTCTTCAACTTAAATTACGTAAAACTGATTAGTCATACTTGATGAGTTATATTTTGTTTGCTTTTGATCAATATTTATTATAGTGCTACTCAATCATCAAGTAACGTGAACTTGCCAAATAAAATAACAGTATTTCTACTATGGGTCTTTAAAAATCTGCTTACTTGTGTCACTAATGACAATTTTCTCATAATACTCCAACTAAGGATTATATTTAAATACGAGAGAAAAGTAAAAAAGTCGAATTCTTTCACCATCCAGTGGCGTAGCCAGGGGGGTGGCCATTGGGCAATTGCCCAGTAATTGAAAAATTATTGCCCAATAATTTTCCGGGAAGATAGTTATTGTCCAATACCAAAATATCTGAGACACACGCATGTTCAGAGTCGAAATAACTTTAATTTATCAAATTGTTTCCTATAATAATCTAATCTAAGTAGTTATGAAGAACGGTCTTTTCTGATTAAACAAACAATTACATCAATTACAATTTAGCGGTACTTTTCGTCAGTCCCCGCGTCACTCTTTTTCAATTCGTCAATCGAAAACTTGAGTAAATGATCAACGATTTTTCTGCATTTATGAAACTATATTGAACCTATATGATAGCAATGCCATAGTCTAAATACAATACTTTGACAGGACGATTGGTGACATAACTCACGCAACTTAAAAATTAAAACTATCATGAACTCAACAGATTTTGTCATCAATTAGACACAGATTCGGTGTGTGAAATAATGCAGAATTTTAATCATAGTGTTTTTTCTTTATCGATAACGCTGAGAGAGTTTGAGTGAATTCGACCGAAATGAGTGCTAACATGAGGTCATTTTTCATATCTCTGGCCATATGACAGAGAAATCTACTTCTCTACCGTCCATATTCGTATCCCAGTCGATACAGTGATAGGGTTGCAGCTATCTTATAGTAATGTTTACTGTGCGTTTACATCATTTTTGTTTCAATGAACGTCGATAAGTAAACTTAGAAATTCGCAACACTGAAAATTCTACTGATTTTTCATATTGATTAGCTCTTCGTCAGACAAATATCATTCATTAACGGAATCTGTAATCTACTTTCGTATCACATTTCTTTTATTGTCTTTGAAGTTTGTAGGAGATACGCTATAAAAATAATAAGAGCAGTACAAGTATATCTGTAATAAACTACAACTTCAAACCATTACACAGGTTTGTTGTAATAGTATCAGTTCATGTAAAAGTAGGTTACCAAAATATAACAAGAATCTCTGGATGAATTCCGACTCATTCAAGTAGCCTGAACCTTCCTTTTCTACACAAACAGCGTTTACATCAAAAAAAAGTACGCAAAATATGAAGAAAAAAAAAATTTTTGCTTATTTTATGAAAAAAATATATAAAAAAACCGAAAAACTCGATAACAGTTGCTAAAAAACTCCCAACGGATCTGAATTACTATACTTACTATCATCATTTACAATTCTATCTTTTTATACTTTCCTTTGAAGTTAAGTATGCGATTATGTGAAAACCGAAAGCTCGTTTTGTGGTAAGAACAGCAAAAGAGATAGAGCTTCTCTTAGTTGACAGTAAGAAATCTCTTTACGTCAAACGTCAACTTTTCTGAAAGAAGACAGTTTTTGAAAAAAGTAATAGCCCAATTGATTTTTCAATTGCCCATTATTGCCCAGCGCTCAAAATAATTTTGCTGGTAAACGGCCCATAGTTCAAAAATTCCTAGCTACGCCACTGTCACCATCACTCAAATGGTATCAAAATAGGAAGAAATATTATTATGGTACCATCTTGTTAATGTCTGGATAATCTCTTAAAAGTCTCAGTGACATGGAACGAACATCCAACAGAGAACGATAAAAAAGAAATGTTGTTGCAGAATGGAAAGATGTTATTGCACAATCATCTGGGTAAATACCCAGTAGACGTTATATATAATGCTCACTTTTGTAATGTAGAATATCATTCTACAGACCTTTGAAACATCTTGTCCAATTCATTTCTTTTAGATACTTAGATACCATATAACTAGCTTATCACTATAATTGTTTTATAAATTTAGAAAATGGCAACAAAAGTAAGTAAAAAAGATATGAAGAATCATCTGACAATGATAAAAAAAAGAATATACATCGCTTATCACTTTTTTCGTTTCGTTTCATTTAGAATATTGCAGACACGAATAAGGCATTTGATCTTGATACTTGTAAACGGACGTTATTTTTTCAAAAGATAAGTCCTAAAACAACAAAACAATTATTAGAAAATTTTTTGTGTGAATTTCAAATTGAAAAATGTTCTGTACCAGTCGATGAAGAAGGTAAGAGAAATAACGTTGGTTTGTCTAAATGAAAAAATTCTATCGATTGACAGTATTTTATTTTCGATGAAAACAAAACTCACATATGATTCTTTAGGTCACAATAAACGTCATGCAATTGTGACATTCATTGATGAATCCAGCATTACTATTTTAATGCCAAAGAGACCACTTAAAATTGATGATCAAGAAGTGTTTATTCATCGACATGTTCCCGGTCAAAAATCGTCGAAAGATAATCAGGATATCACGACTTTGATTGTTTCGAAGAGTCGATCATTGACAAAATCTCATATTGAACGATACTTTCGTAGATATGGTGACATTGATCATGTGGATTTTACAAAGGACAATGACAATACTTATATAATTCATTTCAAAGAGTAAGTTCAATGATCATAAATATAATTTATCTATTTAATATTTTTTTAAATCTAGTAATGATTCAGTTGATCGAGCTTTGCTGAATGAACCACACGAAATAAACAATATTCGTGTTGACATTGACAAAGGTCATCGACATTTATCAAGTATTAGTACAGATTCATCTGAAACTCTTACACCAACAAACAATAATAATCAAAATACAATGCCGAAAAAATCTATCTTAAAAGTTAAAATCGGTATGTGTCTGTATTATCTAAGCATACAACTAGATTACTAGAATCCGTTTGATACATCTTCTTTTGAATTATAGATCCTCAAATATCAAGGCTTAATCTACCGAAGCCGACATATTGTATTCATTTAAAAAATTTGCCAACAGATATTGATGCTGAAAGATTATCAATTGAATTGAATTGGCCCATCTATGATATTCTCATGGGATCATCACCTCTCAGTGATCAATCATCATCTATGGAATGTTGGCTAAAAAGTCCAAATGATCAAGTACAAATTGATGAATTTATAAAAAACTCAAATCAAATAATAATTGATGGATCAAGAATTGAATACGAAAAAGAAGAAGACCAATTAGAATTATGTAAATTTTATCGAATCGGTCAATGTACAAAACGAGATGATCAATGTCATTGGGCACATATAAAATGTACGGCAAATGGTACCTGCTCAAAAGATTGTCCTTATGGTCATGATAAAGACTCGAATAAAGAAAACTCAATAATAAATAGTAAGTTAGACTTTCTGATTGAGAACATGACTGTAATTTATATTTTCGAGCGTGTGTTTTCTATCTAAAAACATGATTACGATGTTGCTTATATTCATTCAATTCATTTTTGTAAACCCATCCAGTAAAAAACAATTGACTTGAACCCTTCTCTTCTTGAAAATTTGGGATCGATCTGATTTCTTGTACACTCGATGAGCAATATTAGTTTTGAGAACAAATAATAGTAACAGATGTGAGACTGATATTTGTTCGGTATGCATTTAAACACCTTTGTTACGTAATTAATAATTTCGAATAAAAAAATTATATTGATGATAGACATCAAGACAAAAATGGAAGGGAGGCAAAAAAAGATTACGCTTAAACTGAATGTAGGATAACGAATAATGATATAGCTATTTTCACTTTTATAGGTGCAATAATGACGTATCGAATCAGAATTAGTGGTTTCGAAAAAAAATTAACACGGAAAAGTTTGGCTTTAATGGTTAGATCAAAAGGAAAAATATTGTTATGTTGATGAAAATCAGAATCAAATTGGTTACATCATTAATGTAATAACGTTCAAATATGCACAACAACTTATAAAAAAATGGCATAATAAAGATATTGATGGTAGTAAATTGAAATGTCAAATAGAAACTAACCAACAATCATCTATGCATCGCGGTTTGTCTAGATCACTACAGTCACTTAACGATGGAGAACGTGACAACGATAGTCGTGGTCGTAAAAACAGACTCTCAAAAAATAATCACAGTGCACAAAGCAGTCGCGACTCATCCATGTCGAGAGATGATGATCATTCTCAAATAACAGTACTTGATGATCAACATATCAATTCTGAAGGTCGACTTTATGCTCAAGCATTTAATAACATGGGCAAATCATGGAAAAATCATAGTTTGCAATCAGCAAGCTCGACAGAAAGTATTTCATCGTCATCAAATCAGAAGCGTACGTTGTCTTTTGTAACTGACATTTCATCAGTTTTTGATTGAGACTTGATATTTTAGCAAGTTTACCGAATGATGTATCATCCGATGAATGGGAAGTAATCAAACGAGCACCGGGCAGTGGTAGAAAAGCGTTGTTTATTGTTAGAAAATTAGATAGAAAATATAATGCGGTTATAAAAGTCTATGAAAATGAATTTCAAGAAGATTGTTATCGAGAATTAAGTGCACTCAAAAAGCTGAAAGGTATGGAAAAGTCATGTTCTTGCACACAGTAAAGATCGATTTAAAGAAACCTTTTTTTTCGCTTTTATTGTAGGAGTAAAAGGTGTCGCTCAGTTAATTGAACTAGAACATCCATCAAACAATTACAAACCGGAAGCTAATAGCAAGACCGATTTATGGATTATTATGCAGCGCGCAATGAAACATTCCTTACAGTCAGAAATAGATCGAAAAAAAGAAAGAAATATTGATGATATTGAAGTTTTATCTGCTATACAATTCAGTCAAAATTTAATAGAAATTGTTAAGGGAATCCATTCTCAAGGTATATTACATCAAAATCTTGAACCTGATAATATCATCATCGAATATGAATCAACAAACTCGTCTCTTGGTCAAGCTCATTTGACATTATTGAATTTTACT